CGAGGAATATAAAGCAGCTTCGCAATCTCAGATTTGACTACCTTCACAAATCAAGGTTGTCAAAAGATGGATTGTATAATATACATGACATCGCGTATGATATTCCAGGATTTGTTTGGAAAATAATTACTTACCCCGATCTGGTAGTAATTTTTGGTCTCAAAGAGCTTCTTGATGAACTAGATAAGGTGTTGCTGTTAGATTCTACAAATCAATTGCTGTCATATGACACAACCTTCCAATTGGGTGACTTCTATGTATCTCCACTTCTTTTTAGACACACAGTATTTAAAAATAGGCCAGTCATTCCAGCAATTTTTATGCTTCACGAGAGGAAGCAAACAATAACTCATTGTGCAATGATGAAAGAATGTGTGTGCCAGGTACCATCACTCTCAACAGCTAAGGCCCCATTAGTGACAGACAGAGAGAAAGCAATTTCAAATGCCATACAATCTGAGATTCCGTTTCTTGATCATGTTTACTGCTGGAACCATGTCATTCGTGATATAAGGTTCTGGTTGACAAGACATGGTGCACCTTCTGCAGATATTAGCATTTACTCAGATGACGTGCGGTCCCTGCTTCACTCTCCTACAAAAGAAGATTATGATGTCAAATTTGAGAAAGTTACTTCAAAATGGGATGTAATATTTCTAGATTATTATTTAAAAGAAATCTCCCCACACATTTCACGTTTTGCTCGATGGGAGTTGGAAAAGAAAGGAATCTATAACCCGTACAGTGGTGTAACGAACAACCAATCCGAATCTCTCAATATGGTGATAAAGGATCTTATGAAGTGGAAGGAAGCTCCAATTGATTGCATAGTACTGTCTCTTTATTTACTACAATCGTTTTATGTTAATGAAATAAAAAGAGGCTTTTGTGGCATTGGAGAGTATAAGTTAGATGCACAGTTTCAGAGCATTGTCACTGACCCATCGTCAATTGAATATACACCAGTTTTATCTCCAGAAAGTATTGTTGATTCTATTCGTAAGTCAGAATCTGAAGCTGTTGATTGTCTTGAAATTGAGGAAAGTACAACACAAAGTGTTGGTGACACAAACATAGAATCAGGTTCACAAACTATGCTGTCAAGCTTCACTCGTGCTCGCCTAGTCATTTCAAATAATGGCATTACTTATGATCAATCTCTTCATGTCTTTAATGTGAAAGGTAGTTCTTCAGTACATGTTGTGTCATTGTTCCCGGAACCTCCTAAATGTAGCTGTCCTTCTACAACGATATGTTATCACATAATTGCAGCTAAGCTCTTTCTAGGGATGGATATTTCTGAGAAGAAGCCATCAAAATTGATTTTATCACAACTAAGGAAAAATGTGAGAAAGAAGCACGAGAATAAAGCAGGAAGAAAGCGACCAAGAAAAAGAGACACTGACAATCTTTCTTTAGAAGCTGAAGGTAAAGCACATAATCATCTGTTTGTTGGTATCAAGTTTAGGTTTAGATGATTTCGTAGAACCAAAGGAAAAAAAGAAGAATGCTGAAGCTGAAGGTAAATCACATAGTCGTTTGTTTGTTAGTATCAAGTTTTGTTAGATGATTTTATAGAGCCAAAGGAACAGATGAAAAATGCTGATGATGAAAAGGTATTATTGCTGTAGTCCTGGACTTCCTGGTTGGCATTGTCACTTTACATGTATTTTTTTATTCGGCAGGGTGACGATCAAAATATGAGCAGTGTAATGCCAAAACATAATGTACTATATGAACTTCCACCATATTCAATTTCTCACAAACATATGCATCAATTAATTAATGGCCAATGGATTGAAACAGAAGTAACTTGTGTAGTTTAAATTGTATTACACTATATACTTTGTATTTTATAGCTAGTCGATCTTTATATGAAGTATATTGGCATGAAATTTTCTACAGAGGTTAGAAGGTTTACATTATACATGTACATGTTGACTGTTGTACTAGGAATTACCTATTGCTGCTTTGCCTTCACATTTTTTGGATTTGAAACAACTAAGACTTGAAGAATTGACCTTACTGATTGTAAGTACATGTACAGTATATCTAAAATTACTAATCGAATTTTTGTATCATGAAGGATGAAATATTTGACAAAGGATTGATTCTAATTCCACTGCATTTACCTGCACGAAGTCATTTTATTCTTTTGGTAACAATTTTACTGCATAATGTTTTGTAACTAGATGTCTTGATGTGTACAATGTAGGTGATTAACTTTCTTCTGAAAAAAATATTTTTGTTTGACTCTATGTGTAACTCTGCCTTTGCAGCCAATCAAAAATACACTTCAACTGTCAAGTAAGCATTTATATACTTTAATCCTTTGAATACAGATTAATTTTCTATTTCTGTTATAAAAGAATGCCACTCTCGGTTGAATGTAAGCGAAGAAACATGAAAGTTGATTTGACCACATGGGATGAAATTATGCTTGAGGTAGTTTGGTAATAACCTTAATCTTCCACATTAAAAAATTTTCAATAGGATATAACACAACAAAACAACAAATCGTCATGCGGAGTTTATGTTTGCAAGGTTTGAATAAATATGAAATTCAAATTTTACAAAGCCCTCCTAATTTGTAGTATGCGAAGTGCTATGTCCTTGGAATGGCTCTAACTTTTGATGTAAGATTTTAATTTTAATGTTCTAAAAAATGGTTTTATGCATGCTACTTATACACGTACATGTAGGTTAAATGTGACTTTGACTTAAGGAAAGAGATTGCCACTGATATTTTCGAATGGTACTGAACTACATATTGTAATTGTTACTGCATCATAATACTAAAGGGCTACTCAAGACTATGAGAATGACACAACAAATTGCAGTAAATGTGAAGTGAAATTTTTTTCTCAAGAACTCGTGTATCATCAAATGGGATGCCTTGTCACAAACAAACAAAAGATACTTGTCAAACAGCAGGACTTAATGAAATGTGTACCATCAACCAATCCTGGTATCTCTAAAATACATGTATATATGTTTTTGAGCTTATGTGTGTTTTGTCATAGGAACTAGAAGAAAAAGATGTGGTAAATGTGCTGGATGTAAAGCCCAAGATTGTGGCAGGTGTATCTTTTGTCAGGATATGGTAAAATTTGGAGGTCGAGGAATTAAAAAACGGTGTTGCAAAGACAGGGAATGCATTAACTTAAGAAGTATTTTAGTTGGAATTATATTAGTATTTTGTTAAAATATTTCTTTTATTACTCAGATACATTTAAGTCAAAGGATTTGGTCAAAGCTGAAAATGTATCTTCAAATACATGTACAGCCAGTTCAAGTGGCAACAGCAAGGAAGAGACTCGTCAGAGTAGTGTATTGCAGACAGCGCAATCAACCAACACTGCTGTTAAATTTGAAGGAAGGGAAGCAAGTGTTGAAGAAAATTTTGATGGATCCTTGATCAAACAAGCTATGATTGCTTTGCATAAATATGTTTCCCTACCAGGTTAACAGACTTACATATTACATAATAACTTTTATTAATTATATTCTCCTATTTCAGAAAGTGATGATTTTATTGTTATTGGTGATGTACATAGTAAAGGAAAACTGGGACTATCAGTTAGTGACCTTAAATTAATTTGTAATGGAGAATGGCTGACAGACAAGGTTTAATTATGAATCGATTTAGAATAATATTTTAGATATTATTTATTTCAATAACATAGATTATTAATTTCTACATGCATGTTTTAAATGCAGTCCAAGATGTCCCATTTGGTAGAACATATTCTTATTCATTGTCTACTCATTTTTATCCTGCCATCTTGAAAGGAAATTATGATTGTCATATTAAGGTAATGCAATAGTAAGTTTAAAATTAATTATATAATCTTTTAGACTAACATCCAACATGCAAGAAGAATCTTGTGTCCTGTACACTTGCCATCACACTGGATTCTTGTAGTGAGTAGATTAATTTCATAATAATTTGTCTGATTGACATAATCATGAAGGAAATTGATCTGGGGAAAAGAATTTTGAAATGTCTCGATCCATTTCAGCACCAACGACATACTGAAGTACTTGATAATATCAGGTAAGGCTATTTGTTTTCTGTTTTTGCAATTTAATAACTGATGGCTAAACGCAGTTTAGCTATTGAAGGTTTTTACATGAGGAGTTATGGCAAGAAAAAGTGTGTGACAAAATGGAAAAGAATTTATGACGAAGTACATACATATTATATACAAATCATTTTTCAAGCATTTTTTGTTTTTATTGTTAGGAAAGACAATTACAGCCGAATAATACAGATTGTGGAGTGTTTGTTTGCAAGGTAATAATACATTAACACAGATAATTAATTTATGCTATTGAAACAGTATACTGAGGCAATTGTCTTTAACAAAAGAATAGATCTGCAGGTAGGTAGTTGATTGTAATGGACTGTGTAATTGTGTAATAATTTTTACAGAGAAATCCTGAAATGTACAGGACATGGCTTTTTCAAGAAATAATAAACCAGTTTGTTTTATTGTAACAAAATTACATGTACATGTACAATTCTATTTTTAGTAAAATGACAAGCATTTATGTTTTTAACATTACGCATCTGGATTGGATCAAATTGGTGGATGAATTAACACCATTGATGCTACCTGTCGAAGAACAAGATGAAAACACAGGCCAAGAAGGTAAATGATTCGTATTTTATGATTGTTATGAAAGAGGTACTTGTACCTGTTGTTGGCCTAATTTCAGACATTGAGTGCCAGTCAGAAAATGATGACATTAACTCACCATTGACAAGTGGAGATGAAGAAGGTATGTGTGCAACTTTAAATTTACATAGATCAAACTTTATCAACCATCAAGATTGTGATGAAATTCTGACCATTGTACCTGATTTCCCTGATACTGTCTATGACAGTGATGATGATATTGTCATCTATAGTCGGAAAGATTCGTATAAAGCTGTTGCATCACAATTTGCAAAGCAAGCACATCCACCTACAAGGTTTTGATGATTACTAATAATGAAGCATTTGATGCTCCCATACAGGATTGGTTCACTTCCTACATCGCAATTATTTCATGATTTGAAGTCTCAGGAGGTGTGTAATTAAAACATATTCAAAAAATTTTTATGCCTCATTGTTTCTTTAGGTGAAATTTATAAAAACTTCAAAGGACCCAAAATCTAGTACCTTCTTTATGCCAAGCACTTTTCAAGAAAAGTTTCAGTCCCAACCAAAGAGCATTTGGCCATTAACAAATGATGTAATTGTAAGTTTCTTCCTATAATTATCATAACTTTAATACCATATTTACATTGCAGGCACAACAGATTTTTTTGTATTTGGAGGAAATTGCTGCTCTGCACTGTAAAGAGACTGAAATTAGAAAAGCAGTAGCAGTTCAGTTATTGTGGCCAGAAGTAGGAGCATGTATTGATACTGCTGTTCACTCTAGTTATTTTTATAGGCAATGGTAATGGTCCTGAAGTCCCTCAAAGGATCAGGAATGTCTCATCAGGAGGCTGAATTAGAATACAGAAATAGCATGAAAAAGATTTAATAATAATTATTATATTATTACTTTGAGTTGACTATGACTGACTTCTTAGGTTTTTAAAAGTATTTTTACATGATCTAATCATAAACATCTACTGTGGTATTATTTTTTAGCCTCTTAGTGGTTGATAATACAAGGGGAGGTAAAGCTTCTCAACTTTTGATGCAGCACAAGTTTATAATTGGCTAGTTGACCTTAGTTTAGTTCCCCAATAGACCTCGGTATGGATAGCTGCCGCTCTATTTTATGGTTCCGCATTCTAGACAGGTTAAAAATGTGTGCAAAGAAAACCACGTGGTTGGCTCTACATCATGTGACAGAGAAGACCAGATCAGTCAAAACAGCTGAAAGAGATGCTTTGCAGCTAAAAGAAGACAAGAATAAAGCCTCTTGGACATCTCTTGCAGATTTGAGAGCAGCAGCTCTTTACAGAGCGCCATAATATTTACTTTTTATTGATGACGTTTTATTGTAAACACGTGACATTATTATGACGTCATAAGTGCCATGGCGTCGTTGTAGTAAGCAGCATAATAATGCTGCTCTTAAACTTTGAGAAAGAATTCCAGGGAGTGTTACAGGCTCCTTCCAGCCTTTATTTGGTCCTCATTCTTCTTTTGTCTTAAACAGAGCTCTTTGGTCACATGACTACTTGTCCTACACGTGGTTCGAGCAATCTGATTGGGACGTGGATTTCTCTGCATATAGCACAGCTTTTTACTGCGAGTGTCTCCAGACCCTTCCTCCGCAGGTAGCGAAGGGGCGTGGCGAGACTAACGCCCCTGCTATTCGTAGTGCTTGACTGTTCGCTGTGTTCAGAACAAGGGCGTAGCTAGCATAAGGCTAGGGTAGGCTATAGCCTACCCTAGCTGAAGTTCAGAAGTCAGAATTGAAGTTTAGTAGTTTACCTATATTGAGTTTCTGCCTTAGTCACTTATGATCAAAGATTATAGAAGTTTAGGGTAGCTGTCTCAACTGGCAGTTACTCACTCAGTCACTTTTGACACAAGCAAACAGAGACAGGAGAAAGAAAAGAAAAACAGCCATTTTAGCACAATTATTATAATTTATTAAGGTGGAGTCTTTACATAAATAACTTAATTAATTAGCTAGCTTAATAAAATTATAAAAAGTTAACTTTAAGTGAAGCCATCACAATGTCAGCTGCAAAGAAACAAAAGCTTTGTGATTTTTTATGCAAAATTTAGTTGAGTATATTAGTAGTCAACCCCAGCCATATAGACTATTTGTACTGAAGATGAGCATGAGGAGATTAAAGATAATGATCTTGTGAATGATGGTGTTGTTGATTGTGCTGCTACCTTGAGTCTTGCCTGAGTCCTCATCTGAGTCTGAGTGTGAAGCAGTTGCGAGAACCATAATTAGAGTAAATGAAACTCCATATTGCGAGAACACACCCATTTCGCGGGCGTAATGGGTGGGCGTGACCAAATCGGCGGCGCGCTTCGCGCGCCCTTTTCTACACATAGCCTACCCCTTCCTTTTTTTCTCCCTACGCCCTTGGTTCAGAATGTTCCTCAGTATTTTAAATTTCACCTCCACCTTCATCATAATCTTTATTGTTGCCTCTGGTGAGTTTGGGTGATATCTAGATACTGGTGTGGGCTTATGACTTGCATGCACCCAGACCTGCATCCCTGAGGCACTGAGGGCGGGTCTGGAGAGTGGATGAAGTAGACCTTGTACTTTTTGCTTTTGTTAAATGGTTAGACCATAGATATTAATGGTTAGACTTAGTCTATAACAATTATGCCATGATTCATGTGGACATGTAGCTCTAGCAGCATTCCGCATCAGTCCCTGACTATATAGTTCCAGTATACAATATTTGAACAGATTTAGATCTAGATAATCAAAACATGAAAATGTTATCCTAATAATACTGAGAGGCACACATCTTATAACCAATGCATGTGAGTTAGTATTGCCAGTTACTGTAACTAGCATAATTTCACAACATTCAGCTGATTAATTTATATTCACATAATACTTTGGTAGCTGATAAATTTTCTAATAAAAGACACATGTTATAAGCAAAAAGGAAATCTGCAAGTAAAATTGTTATTAATGGTTTGTAGTTAGCTGTGAAGGTGACCGGCTATGGGATGTTAAGCTGACCCCATTGCTACGGTTATATGATGGGAAACGTTGGAAGGATATTTGTTTTGATGGTGAAATGATGGCTACAGCTCATGTTGCATGTCGACAGCAAGGATACACTAATGCTACTAGTTTAATTTACTTGTAAGTTACTTTACAATTTTATTCTAACTACATATTTGCTCTTTTAGTTACATGAGATCTGATCAACTAGTTACTTGCCCAACAGTTTCAAATTACTTTTTGTATGGTGAAACCAACATCATGCATTGTAACATGACTTATTATGGGAATCCATTCTACGTATTCTGTCTTGGTTTGACGATTATCTGTAGTGAGTTTTTTGAGAATGAGTGATTTGGGCTAGGTTTATACAACAATAAACTTGTGCTATTAGTGCGGTTTTATGCTTGCATTTACACAGAAACAAAAAAGATATAAAAACAAACTGAACTTCAAAGTGTAAATGGACTTTAAGTGTAAACGCAGACGTGCATAATGCCTAAGCTAGTGTTATAGTGCCAAAGACAGTAAACTTTGAGTAAAGAGGCTGGTTCAGAATATTTTCTTATGACTAGAAGTAGTATTTTGAAGAAAATTTAAAAACGAATTATAATTATGATACTGTGATTGCACTGCAAAAAATGTACTCACAAGTCATTACCTCAGTTTCACTAAACATTAGACTCTGGAACTGAGGCAACGCACAAAAGGTAGTTTTAAACAATTGTTTGCTGTGTGACTTCACCTTAAGTTATCATGGGATTCATGATGAAGTTATAATAGTTATATACCTATATTATTGTAGATAATGACACAATAAAAGAGGCTAATCCTTATAATGGTCAAATATATCTTAATAACCAGACAGAGACTGATTCTCCAGCTGATGGTGTAGTTGAAGTTTATCTTGATAAACACTGGTATCGTGTGTGTAGCAATAACTTCACTAAAACAGTAGCTGATTCAATATGTAGACAGTATGGATACACAGGACATGAATCTTGGACTACAGTAGAACTTGAGTAAGTTTGTATGCAATAATGTTGCATAGTATGACTCATTTGATAGTTATTTAGTCGACAGTGTTATAGTCACAGAATACATATGTACTCAACAAACTGGTTCTTTTCAATGTTTTTCTCATTGTATATGAAGCAATTATAGTATTGGTAGCTGTCAAAGTCATGTGGCAGTAACATGCAGTAAGTAACCTTTAAATTTTATGGCTACCTTATAATCTTTATTTTTGCCTTTTGTGCATTCATAGAAATAATTTTTTTACAGAAACAACTTTTGCGAATTTGCAATGTACGTTAGTGCCACGCCTAAAATTGAATACTTAGCAGAGCTTTAATTTTGCAATTGCTTGCTAATCTGTGAAAACTGAAAGTTTTGCTCCTTGAAAGTAAAACGCTATATTATGATGTGTTATTTCTTATAGTATAAAGTTGTGCTACTTATAACAAGAGTGCAATGAAAATATTTAGTAAATTTGACAGTTTGATAGCCATTCACCAACTTTTTGACTATTATGTGCCGATTTTCACTTTTTCTAATTGCTAAAAATAGGAGTTATCTAAAAGTATTGTCAGTTTATGCATTAAGCTAGGTTTACAATATACATGATGTCACTTATGTTGCACACAACATAAGACCAAACATGGGTTGGTTTTATGTTGCGTTAAACATAATACATCACAATGTATGCTGTAAACATAGATTTATGCATTCAAAAATTATAAGTAGGTCATACTTTTGTGTTAACAAAAATTTTTTTTAGTTTTTAAAGTTCTGATAATTAAAGTTCCAGCCAATGCCAATTATTTTTTCACAAATTTTTGACTGCAGTATTTGAACATTTTGCTGAACACTATATACATTTTACATAGTTCTTAAATTGACCATTTTGATAATGTTTATGAGTAAATTTTTGGTGATGGGCTGGCAACTTGCCATTGAGAACATATCGCATCGATAATTTACTGAAAATGGCAGTTTTACTTACACAAACTTTTCCCTCTCAAAACTACCAGCTATCTATAGTATTAATTATACATTTTTATATAGGCTTTGATATCTATGCAAAGTATTTAACAAGTGGGTCTCGAAGTCAATGTGCTTTGGATGAGGACAGTCATGGTGCTTTGGATAATTGTAGTCATTGCGCTGGGGATGAGTCAGAGTGCAGTCATTTTGAAAGCTTACTTCAAACTTGTAAAATGAATCTCAATTAAATTTATATAATTCTATTTTTGTAGACAGAACTATTACAGGAGCTCTCGTTCCTCTGTTTTTATTCAGTGTCCTCGTATTATTGATTATAGCCTTTTGGTTCTGTTGTAAAAAGAAATGCTGTCATTGCTACAAAAAATATGATGATCTTGATTATGTTAAATACAAAGTAGATCATGGTCTTAGAAATGCATAATCAATGAGGTGTGAATTCTTAACTTATAGATCTAGCTATATTCACAGACCACAATATATTTTTCAGATTATTATTATTATTATGGAAGTGTCTAGAGCTCCGGTAACCGGACACAGTATGCAGTGCTAGAGCTCCGGTAATAGGGGCGTCGCCCCTATATATATATATACCGGGGCTACGCCCCAGTGCAGTATTAATAATACACTGATTTATATTATAGAAACCGAGTATAAATACAACAACCAGCGTTGATGATGCAGCAGGGTCGTGGTGGTGCAGTGGAGAGGCTGGTGTGGATTGCACGGATAGGGTCAGGGGTTCGAATCCGGTCAGGACTACCGAGTAAATCTATGCTGCAGTTTTTGAATTTTTTTTTAAATATCTTTTTTGCAATTTTTTTTCTTTTTGGCTTTTTTGGGTCAAGAAATAGCACCCTCTCGTACATCTTAGCCTCCGGGGTCGTAGGGTTGGGATTGGGGTTTAGTGTTTAGTTTTTAGAGCACCCTCTCGTACATCTTAGCCTCCGGGATCGTAGGGTTTTGGGGTTAGGGTTTAGTGTTTCTTGATAAAAAGACTAAGTTCCATTTTGCACTATTGCGCATGCGCACAAGCTGTTTTACGGAGAAAAACGGACTGCCGGAGCTCTAGCATTGCAAACTACGTCCGGTTACCGGAGCTGTAGACACAGCCTATTATTATTATTAGTTTTATGCATAGACAGTATCCATGGCTCTACATGTATGCTCTATTTTTATTTTTTGTATTAGTATTAGTTTAATAAAATACTGTTGAGAGAAGGTTATGACAATAGTTATTGCTAGCTCAATAAAAATAATACAGTAGGTCGGGATATATTCGCGGCTGCAATTATTCGCGGTCATAAAAAATTCAATTAAAAACCATGGAAACTGTTAGAGCGTTGCTATGACAATTAAGACCACGTGTTTAGTGTTCAGCTATTCATCTGTTCTTTAGCAGCTATAGTGGAGCCATTCACCAATAGCGAGTCCTTCTCTATCTGTTAACTTCTTGTACGGACTGCTACCTCGGAGCTCTTTCAGCCTCTTTGCTGCAAATTGTTGCTGGTCCGCGTGGTGGTGATAATAAACCACGCCCAAGTCAATAAACACTAACTAGAATGGGTGGAGAGTCCCAAAATACGGCGAGGCACGAGTTCTGAAAAGAACCGGTGTTGGAGGGTAGTTGGACCCCCCTTATTTTGGACCGGGGGTCCAAGCGCTCGCGAGTAGTTGGACCCCCCTTTAGTGTAGTTGGACCCCCCCGCTTGCGCAGCCAGCACTAAGTCAGGTCGCAATCACGCACTGACTTACCAGCTGTACTGCTATGGAAGACTTTGAGTTGGTTTATACCGAAAATGATGAGACTTTCGACACATTTGATGACCTTAGCAAGGATGAAGGTATACCACATAACAGCCTATTATTTTTGTTTTATGTTATCATAAGATACTGACAGTGATACACAAAGGCTCTGACATAGATGCAGATA